CTGCCTCAGCCTCCCCAGTAGCTGGGATTACAGGTGCACACCACCAGGCCTGGCCAATTTTTTTGTTGTTGTATTTTAGTAGAGATGAGGTTTCACCATGTTGCCCAGGCTGGTCTCGAACTCCTGAGCTCAGGAGATCTGCCCGCCTCAGCCTCCCAAAGTGCTGGGATTACAGGGGTGAGCCACTGTGCCTGGCTAAGTGACCAATTTCAAGAAGGGATCAGTAGTAGTCCATTGTGACCAGCTTGCCCAATAAAGTTTAGGGGACAGTGGCTTTATGTTTTCACCATCAGACAAATACCTACTCAATGACAAGCAAAACTTTTTCCAGACAGTATCTTCTGAAAGAGATTCCTGCAATTATCCAAGGAAACGACCACTTAGGTCAATGGACATTTAGAGAGTGAAAGACAGTGAATCTTCAAAGAGCAAACCCTTACAGAAGAGCAATGGTGCCTGCCTCAACTGTATGCTTATTGTGAAAAACCTCAATCCCTCTGTTTAGAAAAATTGGATAGGGAAAAATTCATTAACCCCAGAGAAGTAACTTAGTCCTATCTGTCACCCAATATTTTTGAAATGATGGTATAGCCTACCTGATTGGGAGAAAAAAAAAAAAAAAGGAATGAAGCAACTAATAGTAAAAATACACAAATCTAGACCTATATGATCCAGTGATCTGGACAGGACCTTTATGATCTGTCAGCCGAGAAAGAATCAAAGCCAACTCTAGGAATTGCTGATAATTAAAAGGTAGGTGAGTACAAAAGAATATTAGAAACCATTCTATATGGCAAGACTGAAAAGAGGATATGACTTCTTAATAAATTAGATAGAAAGTGAGAGCCAAATCCGTGCATCATTCCAAGGTTGAGATCACAGACGGCAGATGGACCCTAAGGCTCTTATTATACCTGAGAGGGGAGAAAGGGAAGATAACACACACAGACGAGCCTTTCAAAAAGGTTGGCCAAGAAAGAAAGGGAAGACCCCACATAATAACAGGGGTGGAAGTAAAGTTTCCATTCAACAAGTCCTTTGATTCTTTTACACTGTTCTGTACAGCTATGTTAGTATCACTATCTACTATTATCATTATTCTTTCATTAAAAGTTTGTGGAGTACCATGAAATGATATCTGTCCACTACTATATAAAAGCCCTGTAGTCCTCCCTTCACAGAAAAGAAACCGCTAATCACCAGCAGTTCTGTTAAAGACTGCAATAAAATTCAGGCAAGACATTTTTCTTGATAACTTCATTTTTAGAATACTGTATTTTCTACAGTATTTTAAGGGACAACCTATAAGCTCCTTTTCTTTCTAGCTGAAGAATTAGGAGTCTGAGACTGGGGAATTTGAGACTTCTTTAAGTCAGTTTTGATGCTTGGTTTATTAAACTATTCATTTTAAAGAAAGGTAACATTAACCTCTCACAGTAAATTGTGCCTGTCAAATACTTTGATACGATGTCAGTTGGCGAGTGAATGACACCGAGCCCCCACCCTCACTCCTGAGATTGAGTCAGCCCCAGTTACAAAGCTCGCTGGCAAGCAAACTGCCTGTCAAGTTTGCTAAAAAGAACAGCAAAAGTGGGAACAGCCAAGCTTGTACAATTTTGCAGTTTCTTTCTTTCTTTGGTATATTTTTAGGTTGCCAGGAATCGATTTCCTCTTCTCTGCTTTATAAGTTTCTATTCATAAGCCTGGCAATTTATTAAACTTCATTTTATTCACATAAAATAGTCACTGCTCTGGAAAACAGTGACTCAATAAAGCCGTCTTCTTCCCATACACCTGGACTTCTAGCCAGAGAACAAGATGCGGTGTGCACAAGTACCAATCAATGAAATGAAAAACGTTTTGTGAAAAACAAAATTTAGTCTTGAAAATCTGAACATTTCTTTTACAAGTCACTGATTGAAGGGATTTTTGCAATCAAAATGAATCCAGGCAAACCCATGCTACTGGATTTTGATTAATTAAGCCAAAATCTGCACATCTGCGTAATGTCTAGCTCATAAGTGAGATGGATTTAATCAGTGAGGAAAATGTGGTTTGGGGAAGAGGCTGCAGGTGGAGTTTGCTAACTAGCACATTTTATTTATTTTTCTCTTAGTGGATTTCTACTCTTTAGTAAGGTTATTATAATCCTTGGTTTTCTGGTTTCCTGCCCACTATTCATCTCTCCCACTAAAGATCTCCCACATGCCCTACATAACAATAATCAATTAAAATGCAGTAGTCAACCTGGTTGGCTGAAGCTTTGCTTCATAGAGCAGAGATGAAGCTAGAAGCCACATTTTGTGCATTATGTCTATTCCTAGCATCGTAAAGAACCATGGTGAACCAACCAAGACAGCCATGTATACAAATAAACAAAATTACTACAAATAAAGAAAAATAAAGAGAGTGTCAGTGGAAGGATAAGCAACTGCCTGCGGCTCTGTGATTGAGGCCTTACGTACCCAAAAGAGCATTTAGCATTGAACTCTTCCAGTAGCCCTAAAATCCAATGTTATGACTTACTATATAAATAATAAATGACTTGAACTTTTAGCCATGGTGGTATTAAGAGATTAGCAAATCCTCTCAGGTTAAAAAAATAATAACATATAAAGTTGGACAAAATTGTCGAAAATTGATGAAAGGTGATAAATTGAGATATTTATTCTTATTTTATTTTATTTTATTTTGCGGTAGTTCTCTCTTTATATAGACTCTGGTTCTAGAAACAACTCGCCTGCAGCCGGCTGGCTGGGCTATTTACAGGCCCATTGTGGGCTGTACCTTGGCCACCTCCCGGCA